ACCTAATAGGACGTGTGTCTTGAGTGCACCTTTTTCCAAACAGATGTTTTAACTATTCAGAGCAGTAATGCTATTCATCATATTCTTACAAAGGAAGACTTTCAAACATTATTATAGTCCTGGCAGGGAAACAGTGTGAGTTGTTAACTCCCTGCTCATTCTACCACAAATCTGGCCCTAACATAACCAGCCCAAGTCCACAAATTAAATAAGTGGTTAACTCACAGCAACCTGAGAATAAAATTTTGTCTTAAGGGGTTTCATTTCTGTGCCTTCTCCTCCAGCACTGCACTAGTTCCAAATGCATTAAGGTCTTTTATTTTGTCATAGGGCTAAAAACTCCCTTTCAAAGATTCTGGTTGCTAACATTCACTTATGTAAACATGGTTCTGCCACATGGAATGAACAAAGCAGGAGGAGAAAAAAAGCTTCATGCAATTACAAGCAAACAAGTTTTAAAAAGAAAAAGCTCAGGTTGTTCTGTTCTCTGTGCACTTGCTTTTAGATAACCACTCAAGAGCTAGGACAGTGTCCTTGGGTGACTGCAGCTAAATAGAGCTCACGTGGACTGTTCTTCTAGCAGAAACTGCAGCTGAAACCAGAGATTAAATCCTCATTTGCTCATCCTCACACATACCTAACTCTCAGGTCAGGTTAGGATGGGTCCCAAGTAACTTTCCCAGGGCGTGGGTGATGTCAGGAGCACATAACACCTCTCATGCTCTGTATACTTTGAGGATCTGTGCTCACCTGAGATGCCTGCCACTAGCAGAATCCACAAAAGCAAAAGACCATGTCTCCTCATGGAGGAGACAACCCCAGGAGAAACAGCACAAGTACTAACAGCAACACACTCACCTTTTTGCTCGAAGTTCCTTCATGTGTAGTTACACTGGTATTGCTTAGCTTTGGATTTGTAGAACTGCCTTGTGTATCCACCACCTCCAACTTCATTGTTTTTCTGGGCACAAGTTCTATATCATCATTCTCACAGGAGCCTTCATGTGGCATCTTGTCTGTTTCTGGAATAGTTTCCCCAGACTCTTCGGCAAATTGCACCGTGTAGGGGTAAAGGTTATTTACAATATGCAGAACTTGGCCTGGCTTCATTTTCACTACTTCATCCTTGCCAATATTCACAAGATCAACACTAGTTGGGTTGACCCCTATCTTTAGTAGACAGAAAAAGGAAAAAATAGTAGAAAATTATGTTGTGAGTGGAATTGCCAACTTCTGTTCAGTTCTCCTGGAATACCATTATCCTGGAAAGCAAATGCATTTTGTATTCACCACCAACCCTGCCCACATCAACCCACTTTAGCAGACCAGGCAGTGCAGCACTGGGGACATCTGCTTCTGTCCCAGTCTTGCAGTCACGGCTGTCAGCACACAACCTCAGGGCCTGTGTCACAGGGAGCCTGGGTCTGCAGCAGTTACACAGTTACAGCATCACTTGTGCTGCACTTCCCACACCAATTAGCAACCTATTAAACAACTAGTAACAGCAGCAACTATTTCTGAGGAGTAACAGTAGTTTTAGCAAATTATTTAAGTGCAATGGTGTTGTGATGTAGGCAACCTACAGTGATTGCTTGATAGCTGGATTTTGTATCATCATGTGGGTGACCCTACAAAAATTAGGAGTCTTCAGCAAAATGCTTTTAGTTAATATTTATGCACAAAACAGGCTTTAGGAAATCAACTCTCTCCTGTGACTGATAAACTCAGTCAGAGAGACTTTTTGTTAGCTTTGTCACTGCCATACTTGCATGCTTCACAAGACGGTACCACACCTCTCACTTGGTATTCACTACAATGAGCACACACCTGATTCCAGCCAGGATCTCTTTAGTCTACAGCTCTGCAGTTTCACTCAGGTCAAGGATGCTTCCCATGAGTGAATAAATTATCAAACAACTGATCACTGGAACCTTGTGCCACACACCTGTCACCTGGGGAGCAACTCCTCAACAGGCAGAGAAAACATGCTAGCACCCACCACCAGAAAGTATTCCCAGTTCTGAGATTCCAGTAACACAATATTCAAACCATGACTAGGGTTGATTTCTGAGAAAAACTGTCCTAGATACCTCTGCCAGATTCACCAGATACCCCCGGGGTGCCTGTGCCTAGTGGGCTGTGGAGGCATTTTGAGAGAAGACGTGACCCCTCAGCAGGTAGAACATGTTGTGGTACTGTCCGCACAGGCTGATGCTGGGGGCGCACACACACACAAACACCAGCACCAGAGACCTTTCCCTTCATATTATCTCAGAGATACTGGGTCTGGTAAGCATGAGGCAGTAGGCCTACCTCCATCCATCTGGTAACAGGAGCATTCCAGCAGTGCTGTCTCACATCCCATCTCTTCCCGTAAGTAACCACATCTTCAGCTCTATGAGCTCACCCATAAAATATTCTACAACTGAGGAGTTCCCATTAACACAAAAGTTCAACCTTAAATGAAGGACTGCCTCAGCTTATGAAGTTTAAGACTCAGGAGAAAGATAAACAAGTTTAGTAGAAGAAGTCCAAAGTCTCTCAAATGCAGCACCCAACAGAACTGACTGAGGATTCACAACAGCATTCCCTGATGCTGCAAGTCTTGCTGTCTTAGACTGGAATGTATCTAGAAGGAATAGTGCAGCATTTCATTGAGGTCCACAAAGAAGAAAGTTCACTTCTGAGGGTCACTTGCTCTAACCTCCCTTGGTGATAAGAAAGCTTCAGGTCCCTCAGACCCAGTGATCATTATCATCACTTGGAGCATTTGCGGAGCTAAGTACAACTGTCCCAGTAAGTACAAGAAATACTGCAGATCCATACATAAAAACATACCTGTTTAACTGTGACATACCCCTTGTTACAGTCTGCTTTTAACTGAACTGGAAAAGAAAGAACAAAGTGTCACAAAACCATGCAAATAAAAAGAACTCTGCTGAACCACCCAGTGCAGAAAACACTCCTCTTTTTGAAGAGCTGTTTCTTTCTGGAGCTGATCTCTGTGAATGCGTGCCAAGAATACTTCTGCCTCATCTCTTCTTTTCAGGACCACAGGTAAAACAGAGCCAACCCACACACTGAGCCAAGGGTAGAATTACTTCAGAACAAAGCTGGATTCTGTTGATGTCTTATACATATTCTTGACATTCTTACCAGCCCTCTGGGACAAAAAAAAAAAAAAAAGGCATAGAGCAAGACTGCGTCCAGAGGCACAGAAGATAAGGCAAGGAAGATGTGCAGTATTGTATAGGTGATAGGTATTTTCATACATTCTCCAACATCACATTATTTTATGTATAAAATAACAAGTCATGCTAAAAATCAGTTGGTGGAATACTATGGAGAAGAAGTGCTGTTCACGAAGCAGGGATGCAGGCAGTGAAACACAACTTTTGGCCAGGGAACTCACATTAAGATTCAAAGCTTTAGTTTATGGAGGTGGATGTCCTGTCATTGGGTGTCTCTGATTTTTTAGGCCCCAGAGTAAGTGCTTATTAAAAAGGATTGATGACTTCAAGAACCAGGCAACCCTGCAGACCGCATAGAGGAACGAGACAAGCTCAGCTGCTCTGCACATGGAAAGCAGGATTTGAGCAAAATCACCTTACCTTGCTGCCGTGAACACTTCTTATCCGTTATCCCAGTCTCTGGGCCACGCCCAACTACCACAGCTTCCAAGTGCGGCAGTTTCACTCGCTGAGTGCATTTCTCTTTGCCCACGAGCCAGCACACACGCATCACTGAGCTATAGAGCAAAATAAACAGTGTGTTACTTCCCGAGGGCCACCTTCCTGTGGAACAGGGTCCATGAATTCTGGTGCCAGCCCATCCATTAGCTGAGCCAATTCTGCTAACTTGGTTCAAGTTTCTGAAGTTCAAAGCAAAGCATGTCACCAGCACTTGCATAATCTAAGAGCAGGTTGCTGGTGAAAGGGCAATCCTGTTTTCCTTCCTACACCACCGTACATTCTCACATCCATGAACCATATACAGGAAAAATCAATTGGATTTAATGGGACTCCTCCATCTGACAGAAGAGCCTAGCCACAAAAAAGCTCAATTTGTTTCCCACTGAATCAGAGTTCACCCGAGAAATTAACCACCAAAACAAGAGAGAGCAGCAGAAGACAAGAGATGAGAGAGAGTCGGGACAGCTTCCATCCAGCAACACTCAGCACACAGACCATGCTATGAAACCTTCAAGTTTACATCAATTTGACCCTGAACAGCAAAGATCCCTCACCCTGCCGGGCGCTCGGCCCTCTTCCTCCCAGCTCTGCGGTGGAGAGCTCATGCCCGCGGAAAGCCAGGCTCCGTCCCGGTGTAACACCGGCACTGTCACACACCCATCCCACGGCACACCCATCCCACGGCACACCCATCTCCACGGCACACCCATCTCCACGGCACACCCATCTCCACGGCACACCCATTTCACACCACACCCATCCCACACCACACCCATCCCCATGGGCCCCGTTCCCATGGCAACGCCGGGACGGACCCCCCCCCCCCCCCTCACCGCGCGGGTGACGTTCGCGCCGCCACTGCCCCGCAGCCAATCAGCTGCTGCAGCGTGTCACCCACGTGACCAGGCAAAGGCTCCCGCCGCGGCGCGTGGCCCGGCGCAGGCGCACTGGGCCCGCGGAGCCGGGGGTGGGCAGTGGGTCCTGGCAAAGGCGCAGCGGAGTGAAGCGGGCCGGGCCGCCGGCCGGCCTGTGCGGCGCGGAGTCAGGCCTGCGTAGGGTGAGGGGGGGAAAGGCGCGAAGCGGTGCCGGGAAGGTGGTGGCTGGGCCGGCGCCCCGTATCCGGTGCAGCTCTGTGCCTCCGAGGGCGGGAGCGGCCCGGCGCGCAGGCGCAGGGCGAGGCAGACGCTGGGCAGGGACGCCACCCCCCGCGCGGGGCGGGGCGGGGTCCGGGCTCAAAGCGGGTGGCGGAGGCGCGCGCTGATTGGCCAAGCGCCTTCCCCTCCCCATCAGCCATTGGTGGGCCACTCGCCCGGGCCCGGCGCGCGGCGGGGCAGGACTTCCGGGGCGGGGCCGGTTGTTAAGCGGTGAGGCTGCGGGACCGGCCCGAACTTTCCAGAAGAGTCGGGATCGGAGCAGCACCGAGTGGGTTCTGCGTCCGCCGCCCCGGGGGACTCCTGCCGCCGCCACCGCCGCTATGGTGAAGGAGACCACCTACTACGATGTGCTGGGCGTGAAGCCCAACGCGTCCGCCGAGGAGCTGAAGAAGGCCTACCGCAAGCTCGCGCTCAAGTACCACCCGGACAAGAACCCCAATGAGGGCGAGAAGGTCGGCGGGACGGGACGGGGCGGGCGGGAGGGGGCCGTGCGGATGTCCCGCCGGGGGTGCTGCAGGTGCCTGAGTGCCCGTGACTGTCTTTTCCGCAGTTCAAGCAGATCTCGCAAGCTTACGAAGTGCTGTCGGACCCGAAGAAGAGGGAGCTGTATGACAAAGGAGGCGAGCAAGCTATCAAGGAGGGCGGCTCTGGCGGCGGCTTCGGGTCACCCATGGACATATTCGATATGTTTTTCGGCGGCGGGGGAAGGATGCAGAGGGAGAGGCGAGGTAATGTGTCGGCGGGGATATCAGATTCTCTGAAGAGAATGTCATAGATGTAGGAATTTAAACAGAGTTTAATTGAAGTTACAGGGTTAATCTGAAAATTGGAGAAAACAGTTGTCCCTTAACGCCTGAAACCCCAAGGGAGGGCGTTTGGTTGGTGCAGTGATAGTTTGGTCTCCTGTGCATTGCCCTCTGTTAATCGCTAACCAGGTGTGTTTGGAGTACCTTTAGCTGAGTGTAAGCCTAGCTGCTGGTAGACAAAATGGGAAATGAAAGGGTGAAGTATCTTAAAATAGTTTATTAACTAAGCTAGTGTAAGTGTAGCATGTAAAAGCAACTAACTTGACATCAAGATCCAGTTCAGTCTGTGAAACTTTTCTCTGTTCTGAACTGTGCATTGGTATTATGTTGAAGGTGCAGTAAAATGCTACCCAGAAGTTAAGCTCCAGTTTAATCACGCTGGGAACTTTAAACTTATTAAGAGCAGTGCTGATCCCATCATCTCTTAGTGCAGATCTGCTGAGAAAGGGAAGAAAAATTGTTTTGTATTTAAGTGTTAAGAGTCTGTAACAACCCAGAGCTCAGCATCCTTTAGATAACTAAGCCTACAGCAGCTGAAGTGCTAAGGAGTTCCTGAGGGTAAAAATGTAGTTGGTCATTTCTGGTTCCAGATGGTCTCGTGGTGAGAGGAGGAAGGTGCCGAAGTGGAGATTCCAAACAGAGTCTCTCATTTGTTTGTAGGAGATCTATTTGGTGACTTTGTTGAAACCAGGGTCCTGCATTATAAAACTTACACATTTGAGGTTCTGTACGTTCTGTTGCTTTTACTGTTTGTACTTTTCCAGAAGGTATCCTCTGACTTTGCCAGAGTCAAAGTCATAACAACTGTTACCTAATACGACAGCAGCTGAGAAGGGGCTTTTGACTAATATGAGCAAAACAAGGCAAAGCTCTATTGAAACCAGATGCTAAAACCCAGAGACTTGGCTTACCATGGCTTGGCAGGGAGATGTGAAGACCAAGCTTCTAAGCTTGAGTAAATAGTTGTTCTTTTACAGGTAAAAATGTGGTCCACCAGTTGTCAGTAAGTTTGGAAGATATGTACAATGGTGCAATGAGGAAACTTGCACTGCAGAAAAATGTCATCTGTGACAAGTGTGAAGGTAATGTTGAAACTGAAACTAAAGAGAATATGTTTCTAAAGCTTTTGGGGTTTTTTTTTCTGGTAGCACATAACCACCTATCTCCAATTTTTGTTCTCAGGTCGTGGTGGTAAGAAAGGTGCAGTAGAATGCTGCCCTAATTGCAGGGGAACAGGCATGCAGATCAGAATTCACCAGATTGGGCCAGGAATGGTGCAGCAGATCCAGTCTGTGTGTATGGAGTGCCAGGGGCATGGGGAGCGTATCAGCCCCAAGGACCGGTGTAAGAGCTGCAATGGCAGAAAAATTGTTCGGGAGAAGAAGATCCTGGAAGTTCACATTGACAAAGGTGAGGTGTCTTACTGAGGTGAAGTATTGAACTTGAATGTGCTGACTGACTTTGCAGCACTAAAACAGAAGCCTTAGCAAATACCTGGTGTTAGTTTGGTAAGTAACAGTGCTAAATACGTAGCAAAATTGCTTATTGTTGTCTTACAAAAAGTAGAGTTGTTTTCTAGGGAAAGTCAACTATCTCTGTGTTCACTTCTTAAGCCTGGCACATAAATAAGAGTGAATTCTGAAACTTGCATTATAGTAAGCAGTGAATTAGTTTTCAAGTCCCTCTAAGGCCAGTTTGTGATCAAGTAGTCTAATCAATTTTCACTGCCTGCAGCAAAACCCTGCAGACTCCGATCACTTCCGCTGTGTTTCAGTGTGAAGGGGAACCCGGTCTGCTAGAGTGATAGGGTGCAGAGATAGTGCTAAGCCTCTCATGCTTAGAACTCTGTTGGCTACACACCCCTGACAGTGCTGCCCAGCGCAGGTACTACTTCCTTGCCTGGCAAAATGCAGCTTGATACACAGACCCTCAGTGTGATGGGTGAAGGTAATGGTATTGAGTGACAAATGCATCTCTGCTGAGGGGCCTGCCCAGAAGCTGGTGGGAGAAGTCTCTGGAGTAGTGCAGTTTGTAGGACAGAGCAGGCTGACAAGTACGTGACTTTTACTGACTCGGTCATGATTGTGACCTGCAGCTGTTACATACGTAAAGTGTAAGCAGAACTTATGCAATGCCTGAATTTGTGGGCAAAATCCTACAGTAGCAGTAAATATGAGGACTAGAAGGGATATATTACTGATATTTTGAACATATGAGGATGTTTTTCTAGAAGGAAGGGAAAAGAGACTCATATAGCATAAGAGAGCTGGTATTTTTGTTCAAGACTTCTTGTGTGGGTGAAACAAGTTTCTTACGGGAGGTTTTCAGTCCATGGGGAATGCTTCTTCTACATAGCAGGCACTGAGATGATGCTTCATAAGGAGATGTGCCACATATTTATGAAACTGAAGAAGCTGACTAGTCAGTTGCTCTTGAAATAGAGTTTGTACACAGTGTTTCTGATTTCTTCTTTGTATTTGTGTGTATAATGAAAATTGTCTTGATGATATTTTCCTTCAGGACTTTATGTTGGTGGCTCTTTTGGCAGTACAGTTAAACCTGATGGTCTTGAGACTGAATTCAGGTTAGCACTGCTAAGATCTGTTGAACAAGTGAGTGGATTAAAAGAAAAAACAAAAACAAATGCTTCAAGGGAAGATCCTGATATTCTTGCTTAAAGATATCTTGATGCCAGTTCATGCCTCTAAAAGTGTTTGTTGTTGGTGCTTTTATCTTAAAAATAAGAAAAATGTTTTTGTTTTGTGCAATAGGAATGAAGGATGGTCAGAAAATAACATTCCATGGTGAAGGGGACCAAGAGCCAGGTCTGGAGCCCGGGGATATTATTATTGTCTTGGATCAGAAAGACCACTCTGTATTTACAAGGTAAAGATGCTTGAATTCTCTTATATTATCTCCTGTGATGTTTTTCCACATGCTTCCTTGGTTACCACTCATCTTGTAGGTACTGGAGTGTCAGGAGATAGGATCACATGACTGTCACTCAGCCATGAGTTTGTCTGGGTGGTCAGAGCAGCTCTGAGGTGAGTTCTGGTGCAACTAGTCTGGCCACTTGTGTTCTAATAGCATGAGGTAATCTCGCGTGAGCTTTGGCAGCAGAAGGGGATGGAAGGCAAACAAAAGCAGTTACAGCTAAGAGTTTACAAATCTTTAATTTTAAGAACTCAGTGGAATACTGAAATTTTTAGTAGTTTTGAATATTTGTGACATGTTTCCTTGCTTTCAATTATTTAGCTCAGAAAATTGCCATTTAATGTAGTCCACTGTTGTCCACATGGCCTCAAGACACAGAAAACTTGGAGTGTGTGCGCATGCATTCATGGATCTTACTTAGGACAAATTTACTCAGTATAGTGTGCACCCTTGTGATCAAGTGTGGTTTGCCACACTTCATTTCCTGCCCAAGTGCTATAGGCAGCATAATTGGTCCTGTCTGGCTTTTACTGTGAAAGCAAAAGTGACTCAAGCAGTGCTGACCACATCTCAACTATTTTGTGCTCCCAGGCAATACTGCTGGGTGTTGCATACCTCCCTCTGTAGTGTTACTGTTAGTGGAATTAGGCTGTCCAGTATATTTTGGTCCAGTTAAAAGCACCGTTGATGAGCTTGCAGAACTGTGTTGCATTTGTTTTCTCACTGTTGCTGCTCAGAGCAGTTACAAAGGAAGTGGTGGGTTTAGAGAAAGCACTTATCACTGACCTTGTGCTTGTAAATAGGAACAGTGAGCCAAAGGTTCTTAGGAAACCTGCAGCTGGTCTGCCTGACTATCATGTATGGTGCTGAGCTCTTGAAGCTGGTGCCAGAATTCTGTGCCAAGGAACACTGAGCTCACAGGTTAAGAATCACTTCTGCTTTGGATGAGCTTACTCAGCTGATTTTTCTTAACTTCCAGTGAAACCAGAGACTGATTCAGATGTGCCAAACTGTTCTCATGGTTTCCTGGGACCTGAAGTCAAAATTCTGTTACATTATTTTTGTCTATCCTTCTGCCCAATGCTTTCAGTTCTAGTGTCCTTCAATAACCCTTGATATTACTGGTCTTGTGGGGTTATGCTGAGGTCATGCTCTCACACAAGTGGGATGTTCCTCCTCTCCTGTCAGAGTCTAAAATTAGCTTTTCGTTCAAGTCTCCTGTCAGATGTTTTAAAAACAGGGTGAGTGCTCTATATTCTTTGAATAAGATGAAGGATTTTGTAGCCTTTGAACATGTAGACAATTACTAGTAGTGCCATACTGAAGTCAGAACACAATTAAAGTGATTAACACTATTCCAGATACTTCTTGGTACAGAGTGGCCATCACGTGTTCAGACTTACCCTGGTAATAAATCTTGAGGGTGTCACAGATCGCCATAGTGCAAGCTAGTGCAATTAAGGCTGTATTTATCTGCACAAAGAAAGGAATGAATTGTCCCAGTTTCAGTATTTATGAGGCTGAGAAATTTTTTTTTAATTGGGAATGAGCAGTGAAGTGAAACTGGATGCCAATGGGCCTTGCTGTATTTATTTCTTCTCAATAAACACTTGCAACACTTTAGATAACTTGACATGATCGTAATGGCTCTCAGAGTGAGCATTGTTCTAGTAATTGAGGAGCTACATTAATATTTGGTATGCTTTTTTTAGTTGCCTGGGTTTCTGTTATAATTACAGCTTATTGTAATTTCTAGATTTTAAATATTGAAGTTGGGTATGATCCTTGTACTGTTTCTCACTCTGGCTGTTGTTGATTGGTTCTGCCTTAGACGAGATGAAGATCTACTTCTGTCTATGGATATTCAACTGGTTGAAGCACTATGTGGCTTTCAAAAGCCCATCACAACTCTGGATAACAGAACTATTATTATTACCTCCCATCCTGGTAAGAGTTGGTTTGTTTTCTGTTGGAAATTCTAGCATACAGTGAATGTAAGCTGGAAATCTAAAGGAACAGAAGCTCCCCATCTTGATGTAGATGGGATGTGTGCTGGTATCAAATTCTTTGCCCTAGTCTTTGCAGTTCAAATCTTAAAATAAAAAAGGATTTTTGCATAGCAGTCAGCAGTAACTTTCTCTTTGCGTGACATAGTAACAGACCCTACCTCATGGACATACTTGCATCCTGAGGATATCTCATGAGAATTGAAGGCCGTGGGTCTCTGAAAACCACTTTTTCAGCCTTGGAAGCGATGGAGCACTTAATAAATTTGTAAGTATGCTTCCTTTGGGAAGCATAACAAGGTTTACAGGAATGTAATGTAGACATCAATCTGCTTTCCTACTCATATGTTACCAGGCAGTAAGTTCCTGTTAGACTACTACATGTTGCTGTCTAACCACAATGTAGAAAGCTACATAAATACTGAAGGGAATTATAACTAAAGCTGCTTCTGTTACTTGCATGGCTCCCTTCCTTTTTTGGTAATTTTTTGTTTATTTTTTTTTTAGGCCAGGTTGTTGAGCATGGGGCTATTAAGTGTGTGTTGAATGAAGGTATGCCAATCTATCGCAGACCATATGAAAAAGGACGTCTGATCATAGAATTCAGGGTAAGTGAATCAACTCACTTCCACAGCATTTCAGGACTGCACATCCATCCAAAATTCATCCAATAAGCACTACCCCAGTCAATAAGAGATACCAATAATCAGATATCCTGTTTTGGTATTTGTTCTTTACAATGGTGGGAACATGGAACCCATCAGAATTATAGCTCAGAATAGAGAAAACTTCCGGAACACTGTGCCTTCAAAGTACCTTAGGTACCAGAGGAGTTTCTTCAGCAACCTTGTCAATTTCCATTTGCTTGACATATTCTTTAGTTTCTATTGCCCTGTAGGAAGGATGCATGAGTAACTTCAACTTCTGCACTGGAGCAGAAGAGTAGGTTGGAAAATGCTGATTTTCTTCTCTGGGGAGAAGCTAATACTGGGAGCTGTAGCAGTAAGCCCCGTCTGCTACAGCTTAGAATATATTTAACCATATCTCTAATGTTGATGTTTTGTTTATATATATATATTATATATATATTTGAATATGTTGTTGTATATGCTGTTATAAATATGTAGTAATATGCACTATTGTATTACATTTCTACTTTGCTTTTGTGTTTGATTCTAGAGGGCAGCCTGAGGCAGATGAAGAAAGGTGTTGATTGAGTTGCCAGAGTTAGAAGCTAACTTCATGCAGGCATTAAAAAACAGCTTAGTGATGCTGATATTTTTGTAAGCTCTGAATTTAAGTAACCTAGGACGACAGACCTGACTTTGGCAGATATTTAACCTGTAGGTCTCTTTGACCTAATGAAAAGACAGTTCAGATAGATTTGAGTAACCTTAGCTCTTGATTTCAGGTGATCTTCCCAGAGAGTGGCTTCCTCTCCTCAGATAAGCTGTCCTTACTCGAAAAACTGCTACCTACAAGGCAGGAGATAGAAGAAACTGAGGAAATGGAACAGGTGGAATTAGTGGACTTCGATCCGTCTCAAAAGCGAAAACACCACTATAATGGAGAAGTGTATGAAGATGATGAGCATCAGCCTAGAGGTGGTGTTCAGTGCCAGACATCATAAATGGGCCAGTGAATAACTTGTGATGCTTGTTTTGTATGCGGTAGTGGATGAGTGAAGGACTACAAGCAGTTTACCCTCACCTGCTATTTGTTGTTCTATCCAGCCATAGTCATTTCTAAAAGCATAAAGAAATAAACTAAGTTACTAAACTGACTTTGCGATTTGTATAAAGCTCCAGGATGCAAGCTGAAATGAAGTTGACTGCACTTCACCCCTGCCTCTTGGTCCTGAAAACTCCCTTACCTGCTTGTCTTTTATTCCAAACCTTGTAATTCCTGTATGTGTGCAATTGCCCAGGCTTAAACTAAGATTCTGTGGTGTGCTTTTTAGAAATTCTAGATCTTACACTCTGTGAATAAAGTATGCACAAGTACTTATAATCCATGGTAAAATGTAGTAAAGTTTTGTACCAATTAGTATAATAATGTGTGGGCTTGTACTGGTGTTCGTTAAACAGGGCCTGGCTGTAATGCACCCACATGGTAGATGAGGCTAACACAGATGTGGTCAATCTTCACAGGCCCATTAATGTAATGAGATCCCCAAGCTCTCCACACTATTCCACATGAGGTCAGATAGTCCTTTCCTGTGCCAGCGTTCGTCCTGACCCCAGAGCTAGGTGTGGAGCTTGCTTTGTTTCATCAGTGACTCATGTTTGGCTGCTGTCCTGCGCCACACTGCCTGTGGAGCCAGGGGTTGCTTGGAGCGGCCTTGGCTACTGTGCATTAGTAAAATCCTCTAGGCTTTGTCAGCATGCAGGTGGCTTGAAAGGTCAGACTGCTGCTAGGTGAAGCTTGATTTCCACCCTGATTACTGAAATCAGATACCCTGGGTGTGTTGTGGAGAGCGGCACCGGTCCTCTTAGTGGGTATATGTGATCCTGCAAAGGAAAGAAGGCTGTTGAAAACAACCAACCACTGCATCTAGGATGTTCTGCAATGAATGTATTGTGTGCATTATTTCAAGCTGACTCTTATATTTCTGTATGAATGTTCTAATTATTGTAGATGAAGTGTTTCCGATATAATTACAAAATTGTTCATTGCCTCTTTTCTTAGACCAGATGTTGGTTCAAAAACACCACCCCCTTCTTTTTAGACAGCTATTCACAGAAAAATCTTTAAAACCTTCTTTCAGAAAATATGCTGAGAGGACATGTCCAGATTTAACCTCTCGTGTGGTAGTTTAGTCTTAACCATCTGGCTTGGGACAGAGCTTATGCTTTTCTGCTTGGAAGCAAAAGTGTCGCGAGGAGAACTCATCTAAGTAGCTGCTGCGTGGCAGTACATGTATTGTAACCTGAATATCTGGAAGCTCTTAGACAAAACATCTCTAGTTTATCTAAGTGTTACAAGTTTCATTGTATAAAGACAGCTAGTATACCATGGATTTTGTACCTCAAATGTGGTCCCTTTCAGGTACTTACAGAACTGTGATATTTCACCTGCATGTTTCACCTACTTTTCTGTTTTCTTTCTCAACAGAAATAAAATTCTGTAGGCCAAGTGTTTTTCCAAATTCTACTTGAGTGAGCTCATCAGTGAGATGAAAAATGTGACCTGCAGGTGCCTGTGCTCTATCAGTAGGATGGTTTGAGTCAAGGACAGACACAGAAAGTAATCTTCTTCTGGCTAGGGCTTAATCCTGCACAGCTGGCTTGAGACTTAAACAGCAGTAAAATAAGCTCCTTTTTTCCAGTTCAGTAAGCAGCCTTGGTTTTGGATTTTTTTTTCCTTAACCACTAGATAAAAACAGCAAGAACAAACAACACCCATTCATAGCCTTTCTCTTGACAGTGGGACATGATTTTGCTTCAGATGACTGTGTATTATATTTAAAAAAAACCTCATTCCATAAACTTAGTTTCTCAGGAACACTGCATTTCCTTTCACCACACCCACCCATAGCTGAATTGGAATGGCGACATTCTTGACTTACTCTGGAGGCCATGACATGACAATCCTGCTTGGTGCTTGATGGCCACACAGCAGATGGGCCAGGTTCCTGGAGGAGCGTGGCTGACCAGGAGCTGCCTCTAGAGGCTTTAGCAGTCCAAGGAAGGATGCTCTGCTAGGAGGAAGGGCAGCAGGAACACCACCAGATTAGTATTCTGTTTTGAAATGAGTTGGTTACAGATACAAAATCTGTGCCCCAAACAAATACTGGCAGCAGAAGAATAAGCTTTTAGCAAAAAGCACTGGATGGCAAACGTTAGTAGGACTTTGTTGTCCTGTGATACTCTGGGGATCATACAGTTAGAGCAAGCAGCTAGATGTGTTCTATGCCACTGAAAAATGAAGTAAGAATTTTTTCTGACTTGTTGCTTTATGTGGGATACAATTTCTAGTTTGGGGAAATAAACAGAATAGACAGCTCTAGAAACTAAGGGTACAGTAGCACATAATAGCTGTTTCTGTAACTACCAGTATAGTAACCTGACCTATTGTAATCTGAGTTTGCAATTACTTCCAGTATTTCAACACCACCTAATAAATGTGATCAAGCTTATATTTTACTTTATTACAATTATTCTTTTCACTGTGCACCAGTGAAAAGCATTTAGGACTTCATATTTTCCCCATAAAACAAAGTTCCTATTGCACAGGCTGGCTGTGAAAGAGCCTACTCTCACTTTTGCTTTGCTTTCAGAGTCCTTAGGCTACAGGTCCTCTCCTTCCCATAGTTTTGAATACCTGCTAGCCAGCAAGAGTGGAAAAGGTTGGTTCAGCCCAGGGGTGTAAACTCAATCATCCCAAATCTGCTCTGAATTTGCAGTGTGATGCAAGGTCAAGCAACTTGCCCTATGCTTTTTCATTAGCAGCTTCACCTGGGAAGACGTGTTTGTGACTGATTCCTGCTCAGAGCATTAGGAAAGCACACTAAGACAAGAGGTTTGATTTAAGCCACTCTTTTTGAAAACAGCACATAAACAAATGCCAGGCTTAACTGTTTTCTTAGGGAGTAAATGAAAACTGTTACAGTGCCCAAAGAATGGGACTTCAACTACCCCGTTAACTGCTGTCAGGAAAACATAATAATTAATAATAAAAGTAGATCCACATCTCAGATAAGTGCTAAGTGCTTTAAGTCTCTGCCATAATGGTGGGCATTCCTGAACCAAAGCCAGTGTGTCTACTGAGACAGCCCCTGAGAAGCCTGATGTTTCCATGCAGACAGAACTGGTGAGGCAGGTGTCAGTACAGGTGGTTTCCATGGATACTCCAGGTACTTCTGAAAAAAAGGCTGGTACCTGTACAAAGTGTGCATAGGTGGATGACCAGCTGCAGCAGGTGGCTGAATGACAAGAGACAGTGAGTTGGCTGTGCAGTATATAGAGGGGCTGAAGCAGAGATAGGTAGGTGGGTTCAGAGCCACACACCTGCAATGGATACCACTGAGCCTGAGGCACCCTGCACCCTGGGGACCCACAAAAGCGGGGCTCCAATTCAATCTCCAGCCTTCAACTTGCAGATCAAAAATACAGATCTGATGCTTTAAAGGCTTTAGATATCCATGAGCAAGGCCAACAAAGAGAACCTCACCAGCAGTGCATTGTGATTACTGTAAAAATAAAATCAAGTGGTTGTAGTAGGCACTGAGATGTCCATTTGCCAGCCTAATCAACAGTCACAAGGGGCATCCTGCCCTCCAGGAGCTGGGATCCATGGTGTTGCCAAGAGGGTATCCTGACCTGTCATACGCCACTACGCCCATCACTTTTTCATATGGGTACAAGTGATGCCACAAGGCAAAAAATAGGTGGGATCAAGGAAGACTAAAAAGCCCTGGCAAGGCAGGTGGAAAATATCACAAGGCATCATCGTGCCCAAGTGATCTCCTTACCTGCCCTGCCTGTTAGAGAAAGCAGGACAACCAGAGACAGACACATTGTGCAAATCAGTGTCTGGGTTTGTGGCCAAAAGCGTCAAGAAGGTTTTTGCTTCTGTAACAGTGGGTTGTGTTTTTATGATTTTTAGCCTGTTATGGGGGAAGGGGATCCCCCTGGCTAAAATGGGCAAGAGAATCATTGGCAGCACTCTGGCCAGTCTGGTGAGATGGGCTTTAAACTGAAGGACCTGGGAGGCAGGGTGCAAATGGCAACGATTGTGCCATTGCTTCCTCCTGGGAAGCAGGTTATAGCAACCACTGCAGAGTCAGATGTACCTTGGCTGCCCCTGGAGTTGAGGATCAAAGTACAAAACATATCATAGGTGCTTATGGCTATGGTGAATCCTCTCACATCCCTTCTAGGAGACCCCATTCCTTGATTATCCATGAAGTGTCAGTATACAAAAAGATGCAGCTTGAGGAATGAACAAGAACTATATATATATATATATATATATATATATGCATTCACAGGGCCATGATCTCACTGAAGTGCTGAGACATAGTGGGATAGCTCACATGACTGGAATATTGTCATGGATGGGTATGTCCTTTTTAGAAACAACAGAGATATGTCAGAGAAGCAAGGTGGTGGAGTTTCTATTTACATGAGAGAGGAACTGGAATGTATCAAGCTCTACCCAGGGACAAATTAATAAACTGAGAGATTGTGGGTGAGAATTATCCAGTGTGCCCGGGCTGCCAGGAGGATCAATCCTGTCCTGGGGTGCATCAGGCACAGCATCACCAGCTGTGCAAGGGAGACGCTTGCCCTGCTCTGCACTGGGGTTGCCCCACATCAAGCCCCATGTGCAGTTTTGGGTGCCACACTGTAAGAAAGGCATTAGGCCAATACAGAGCATCCAAAGGAAGGAAACTAAGATGGTGAAAGGCCTTGAGGGGAAGTCATATGAGGAGTGACTGAGGTCACCTCAACATGAGGAAGAACTTCTTTTGAGGGTGGCAGAGCACTGGAACAGGACATGGACTCCCCCTCTCTGGAGATACTCAAAAGCCACCTGCTCTAAGTGACCCTGCCTTGGGAGAGGATTGTACTAGATCTCCAGCAGCTCCTTCCAACTCTAACAATTCTGTGATCATCAGTCCAGGAGGCTCATGGAGTGCATCAATGAGAATTTCCTGACCCAATTGATAGCGGAAGCAACTAGGAGAGGTGCTCTGCTGGATCTTTTTAACCAAAGAGCTTGTTGGGACTGTTGGGATTGTAGGGACTGTCAAGGTCAAAGGCAGCCTCAGCTGCAGTGGCCATGAGATGGTGAAGTTCAGGAGACTGAGAGGAAGAACTAGGATGAAAAGCCAGTTCTCAGCTCTGGACTTTAGAAAAGCAGACTAGTCTCTTCAAAGATCTGCTTAGAAGCATTCCAAACGATAAGGCTCTGGAATGAAGAGCCTAAGAAGGTTAGTTAATATTCAAGGCTCACCTCCCCCAGGCTTGAGAGCAGTCCATCCCAGTGAACAGCAAGCCAGGCAAAAATGTCCAGGAGGTCTGTGGGGATGCACAAGAACTCCTGGTGTCCTGGCTTGCCAAGCTAACTGTATTTTATCTGCCATCTGTATGGCAGTGGTCTTGTTACTGTTACGTGGGCAGTTTTCCTCATCTCTTCCACAACCACTCCTCCCTCTGGGGAGCCATCTGCTGGTAACAGGCTATTGAGTGTCACTGCATGACTGATAAGAAGATAAGAACTACAGCATCCCACTGTGAGATGCTCTGCCCAGAGGGAGGAGCCAAGCATTGCTACCCAGATATAATCTTGAGATTCTGCAACACCTGCATGGCTTCTCCACTGCATTACTCCGAGGAAGAGCTGCTTCTTCCACTGAATCTTCAGAGGAAGACTACACCCTTTCTACAGGATCCCTGCTCCAACAGAATCACACCTGATGCTCCAGGACTGCAGCCACAATTTCCATTGGACTGCTACTAAGACCCTGACCAACAGGGTGTCAGGTTGTGTTCTGACTCTGTCTGTGTTTAGTTTACTTCATTGTTTATTTTCTTCCCTAATAAAGGAACTGTTGTTCCTGCTCCCATATTTTTTGCCTGAGAGCCCCTTAATTTAAAATTCATACCAATTCAGAGGGGCGGGGTTTACATTTTCTATTTCAGGGGAGGCTCCTGCCTTCCTTAGCCGACACCTGTCTTTCCAAACCAAGACACCTGGCTAAACTAGAACACAAGAAGGAATTATCTGGAGGGTATAACCAAGGCTGGGTATATTGGGAGGAACACAGATCTGATGTGCTACACAGATGTGGCATCCAGAGATGAAGTTATGGAAGCTAAAGCTTAACTGAATAACAAGGGCCTCTAAAGTACAAAAGTGGGAAAGGGCAGGGGAAATGTGGGGCCATTACAGAATTAGATGGAGCATCTGGTCACACATGACATGAAAAATGTTGAGGTGCTGAGTACCTTCTTTGCCTCAGTCTTATTTAGTGACAACATAAGCTCTCAGAAGTCCAGAGATCAAGGAGAAAGTGTGGAGCAAGGAGGATGTTCCCTTGATGTAGGGATGATGAGGTCAGAGAAAACTGAACATACACAGAACCATGGGCCCTAGCAGGACACACCGACACATGCTCTGGGAGCTGG